GGGGGGGGGGGTGCGGCGGAGCCGCTCGGTACCGGCCGCTTTCCCGTGACTCAGCTCTGCCCCGCTCCTTACCGGGGGTTGCGGGGGGAGAGGGGGGGGGCAGCACCCCACCGGGATTCGGTGAGAAATGGCCCTTTTTTGGGGGGAGGGTGGAAAGTTCCGCCGTCGGTTCCCGGTTTTCCGGTATCCCGGAGGCCTCCGGTACCGGCGGGATGCTCCGGTTCCTCCTCCTCCTCCTCCGTTAATTTCTCATCCTTCTCATCGCGTTAATTAAGCCGGTGATTTTATTGCAGCCGTTATCCCGGGTGGAAGCGGGAGGCGCTGGCGGGGGTTGGGAAAACCGGGAAAAAAAAAACACCGGGGAAAAAAAAAACACCGGGAAAACCGGGGAAAAACACCGGGAAAACCGGGGGAAAACACCGGGAAAAGCGAAGCGGCGGCTGCCGTTGAGTTTGCTGGGGAGGGGGGTCGGAAACCGGGGGGGGTCGGGGTCTCGCCGCCATCAAGAAGTTTCTCTTTAATCATATTAAAATTAAAATTAATTAAGCTTATTCTTTGGAAATCACGGCAAGAATCCAACCGGGAAATCCCGGGAATTCGGGGTTTTCTGGGGCGCCCCCCCCGGCCCTGATTGGGGCGGTGTAATTAGCCTTAATTAACACGCCTGGCTCCCTCGCCTGCAGGGGGGTGGGCAGCCTGGGGGGGGAAGGCTTCTAAAAATGGTCAAAATAGGGATTTGGGGGCCTTTTTTTTTTTTCTTCCTCCTCCGGTTCGGTGTCGTCTCCAATTTTTCATCGTTTTGACAAATTTCTGCCTAAAATTCTAAAATTTCGCCGATTCCCCAGCGGATTCTTGGAAAATGAGAAATTCTGCTTTCTGAGAAGGGCCCAATTTGGGTGTAGAATGGAGTATTTTGGGTAACTTTCAAGCGTGGATTAATCCGAGCGGTTCTCGTGCCGGGGAGAATCCCAAAAGGTTGGTTTTTGCCCCCAAAATGCTATTTTTTTCCTTCTCTACCTGGCCCTAAAGCTCAGAAACAACCTCCTGCAGGCTCCATATGGATTCTATAGGTGTCAATCCGCCTCCACGTCACGTAAAAAAAGACCATTTTTCCTTCACAATTTCCCATTTCGAGATAATTTTGAGCAGAATTAAATTTACGTGGAATTTTAGTTTCTGAACAAGTTGAAAAATGTTTTTAAAAACCCGCCTGAGCGGTGTTTGGCTTCAATAATTTTATAGAAAAGCTGTCAAAATCCAGCTGAAGCGGATCCCTCTGCGTTTTAAAGCACTTTTTGGTGTATTTTGATGTATATATTCTATAAAATAAGCTTTTTTTTTCTCCTTCTGGACAAGCAATTTGGGGGGTTCAGGCCTTTTTTAGGGGACGTCGCGCTGCGAAAGCGAAACCAGAAGCGTCGGGGGGATCCGGGGCTTCTCCCACCTGGATTAATCCTTATTTTTGTATTAAAAACACCCATTAATATATTTTCTCTATATTATTTTGATGCCTGGGGGGCATTGGAGGATTTTCTTAAAATCTGAGTTAAAAACTTGGGTGAAAAGTTTCCCTGAAAGGAAAAAGAATGAGCCCGAGGAGGAGTTTTAAGGCTGCGATTAAACACCTCTCCTTATCACCTGGGGCTTCCTTCGCCAGAATTAACGCCCCTAATTAATTAAGTAATCACCTCCGGGGTTGGGAGCTCTCCTGCCTTGTACCAAAATGCTGGTTTTTGGCCCCAGATTGGGAACTGGGGTGAGAAATAGGGATTATTTCCCCCTCTCCCCCTGGTTTTCCGAGGACAATAGGCTTCTTCTCCCGCTGCCTTTGTTCTCCGGCCGTCGGGCTCCGGCTCCATCTCATCCTCCAGCTCCGGAGCTGCTTGGCCTTTTTTTGGCTGGTTTGGGGAAGAAAAAGTGGGCAAACCCACTTCAGATCCTGCGATTTTGGTTAAAAACTGCTCATCTGATAGCAGGAAGCCAAGGAGCTGGATTTGCACCTTTCCCAGTAGCCAGAGAAAGGAACGGAGAGTGCAAGAATAACAACCAGTTTGGTTTTATATTAAAAACACATCGAAAGCTGGGAGAAAGGAACGGGGAGCGCAAGAATAACAACCAGTTTGGTTTTATATTAAAAACATATCAAAACCTTTGCCTCGAAAGGCAATTTCTGAATTATGAAAGGGGTCAGGTGAAACAAAAGAGACTTTTTTTGGAGGCGTAGGGTGCAAAAAAGATGCTTCTTTCCCCAGATTTCCAGCGGAAGTCGGGCGCTGAGCAGCTGAGAATTCGGAGCAGCTCGGTCTGAATCCGTGTGTCTCCAACTGAGGAAAAGATGAAATTCTCTCATTTTGTTTAGAAATTAGGCTGGGTTCTGTGTTTGTCTCGTTAACGTCATCCCTTCCTGGTGAGAAGGGGGGAAAACTGAAGCAGCAAAGGCTGGAAGAGCTTCAAAGAGGCAAAAATAGCCACTGTGGTCAAATTTGTACTAAAACACTGAATTTTCACTGAATTTTCACTGAATTTTCACTGAATTTTCACTGAATTTTCACTGAATTTTCACTGTTGGAAGGGACCATGGGGCCCTTAACACTATTAAATCCGATGCGCTTTTCCTTGGGTGAGGTGCCTGCTCCTCTAAGTGAGAGGTTGTTGCCAATTTTCACTGAATTTTCACTGAATTTTCACAGTTGGAAGGGACCATGGGGCCCTTAACACAATTCAATCCAATGTGCTTTTCCTTGGGTGAGGTGCCTGCTCCTGTAAATGAGAGGTTGTTGCGTTCTCTGCTCTAAAATCGCTATTTTTTTCCTGCTTTTTGGCTGCTTTCCATCATTAGTAGCTTTTAGAGAAGCTCATTAGTCCAAGAAGGCACTTTTGGTGGAGTTTGCTTAAAGGTTCCTGTAAGCGACGCCAAATTTTGGATGTCGAGGCCTTTTTTTTACCACAACTTTCTCCCCCTGCGGCGCTAAAACGCAACATCTCACCCGAATTTACCCGTTTTTTACTTAATTTTCAGCACTGACCTGCGGGTGAAGCACGACGGGGGTCTCTCCCGTCGGGGTTCACTTCTATTTTTTTCTTCTTTTTATTTTTTTTCTTTTTTTTTCCCCGTTTCAGAAAACATGCCTTGAACTGCCACAGGATGAAGCCGGCTCTTTTCAGCGTTCTCTGCGAGATCAAGGAGAAAACAGGTGCGTTGGGGGGCTCCTTCCAGCCTCATTTTTCCAAGAAAAAACCCCAAATCCCCCCCTCTCCCCCTTCACTCATCAGCTCTGCCCTCCTTTCGATTTTCCCTGCGAGATTCTACAATTTAAGGTTATTTTTTGGGGTTTAATAATCTCCCATAAGCTGGAAATTGTTTTTTATGATGCTGTCCGTGCAAGAGTTTGGGGAAAATGATGCTGCTCCGTTGAGTTTTGGTTGTGTGTAGGTGGAAAATCTATAGATTGGGGTTTTTTTTTGACACTTGGCTCAATATTTAAAATAATTCTGTATAAGGCTGCTGCATTGTTAGGCTTTTTTTTAATTCCTTTAAGGAATTGGTACCAAAATTGCGGTGGTAGGAAGAGGTCAAAATTGAGAAATAACTGGATTCTGGAGAAAAAAAAGAGAGAGGACACGTGGGGAGGAGGGGAAAGGCAGAAGGAGCAGGAGGTGGAGCTGGTGATCTCGCAGCTTTTTGGAGGAGCAGAAGCTCTGGGGGCAAAAGGATTTTGGTTTTTTTTTAATTAGATGCTTCTATGTCAACGATCAAACAGTGGTGTTTGAATATCTATAAATTAATATAATCAAGAAGCTATAAATATCTATAAATCTATCGAATTTCTATAAATCCACTATAATTTTGGTGGGGTTTTTCGAGAATAACACCTTTTTTTCTACATAACTAAAATGGTGGTGGGTTTTTTTTTTGTTTGTTTGTTTTTTTAAGTTGGATTAACATTTAACATCTTAACTCTCCATTTGGCTTATTTTTAATAAAATACTGAAAGTCAGGGTGCTCCTTGTGGGATTTTAGGCCCGTAGGGTTCCCTCCTCTGCCCCGTCCTCGTCATCACGGGCGGCTTTTACACCTTAATTTCTGCAGAATTTGGTCACCTGCGTCGTGTTTTCGTGACTTTTGCTTCCGAAGAAAAAATCCTGATATTTAGGGGGTGTGAGAGGATCGCTCCCCTTTGAGAAGGGCTTTATCTCTTTTTTTTTTTTGCTCTTTTTATGGCAAAAAAATGCCTTTTGCCTTTTTATTGACTGAAAATGTGACTTCTCTGAGCTCGATGCACTTGCAGGAACGGCCTCGGATATCGCGCCGCTGCCGGATTTGTCCCAGTCTTGGTGATTTTTTGAATGTCTGATGCTCTGTCTATCCCTTATTTAAATTACAGGGAGCAGATGTTATGGCTCGGAGCAAACAAAAGCCTGAAGGTTTTGGGTTCTCTTTGTGACCCGGCCGCAAAAGCTGCTTTTTTTTTTTTTTTGCCTTTTTTTTTTTTGCAGATTAGGACACACAAGCCAAGCTGTGATTTTTTTTTTTTTTTTTTTTTTTTTCTCAGAAATGGGTTTCAAACACGTTTTTCCCCCCTCCTCCCCCCTCTGTTTTTTCTCTCACTCTTTGTTGGACGTCGGTGTCATTCACAATAGAGCAGGATAAGCCTTTGCAGTCGGCTGGAAGGTGCTGAAAAATTCTCCCCAGTAGCATTTATTAATTAAAAAGAAATCGCAAATGAGTCTTTGGAACAAAAATACATTTGGCCACATTTAGTGCTTTGGTCCATCCCCCCCAAATGGTTTTAATTCTTTAAAATTTTAACCCAGTTACAGGGAAACCAGGTATTTTATCTTCAATTCTGAAATACGTGCCTGGATCGTATGGAGCTATTTGAAGATTTAATCCCATAAAACCTTAATTTTTGGGGGAACTCATGGAAGCATTTGGAGCATTTTTCAATCGATGCAGCAAAGGGTTTTGTTTTGTTTTGGGGTTGTTTTTTTTTGCTGGTTGGGTTACACTTCAGCTCCAATTCAACCAATACAGATTCAATCTTCAAATGGGAATTAACCATCCCTAGTGTTAACGAGCGCCGGCTTTTGGGGCTGAATGTTAAATTTCAGAGTGTTTCTTCTTGGCTGGGCAGACACTGGCCTGGGGATGGGCTTTCAGGCCCCTCAGGGGAAGGGGAAGTGTGTTCCTACCCACTTTTCTGGGACTCTTTCTTTATTTTCTGGGACTCTTTCTTTATTTTCTGGGACTCTTTCTTTATTTTCTGGGACTCTTTCTCTCCTGGTTGAAAAAGGGGGTGAGAAATCTGTGTGGTACGACACGAGGTGGGCCCTGTGGTACTTTGGTGGCGTTTAGAAGGGATTTGTGTCACTTTAGGTGACCTTTTAGTAAAAGTCTACGCTTCTGCCTTCTCACCCAACTGAGATTTGTGGATTGGCAAATCGAGGAAGCTCTTCTGTCTGATTAAAGGGGTGGGCAGTCAGTATTTAGCATGAGTTCCAGGATAAATATTTGCGTTATTTTCTAGGATAAATATCTGGGTGGTGGGATCTTCTGGGAGGTGGACGAGGAGGACCCTTCCCCTCTGCAGAGGTAGCTCAGGCTTCTCACGCGCCTCATTCCTGGCCCCAAAATGGCAGGTTTTGGTTCTAACTTTGTGAATTCTGTACCAAATAACCCCATTTATCCTGCTCTTCTGCATGGAAAAATTCAGAAAGGAAAGCAAAGTGTGTCTATCGCTTCTTTTGGTACCGGTGATCTTGCACCGTTCATTACAGAACTGCAACTCTTTAATTAATGAGATGTAAATATATTGTAATGATGGCATTTGAATACTGAGTGAGACTTCAGCACCTTAGGTTGTGATGTATTTTAATTAGAGATTAATTAGAAATGATGGGAATTTCATTTTGCTTAGGATAATTATTTTACATATTTGATGACTATCTGGTAGGGGATGTTGCCACAGAATGCAAAATATTCTCCATCTGATGGGAGCAACTCTTTGGGCTTTTTGAGCCAGTGGAGGGATTTTCTTAAACATCCATAAAAATGATGGATTAGGAAGGATTTAAGTGTGAAAGATTGAAGTGTTGAAGGATTTTACTGTGACGCCAGAACTTTCTGAATCGTGCTTAAAACACTGTGTCCTAACTCCAATCTCAGCGCCTTGACTCAAAGCCTTGAGAATGATCAGAATTTTTATATGTTCTTAAACTATCCTGGGCCATCAAATTCCAAAATTTGCTGGCTAAAAGGCTACTGAGAAGGGACAAGCTTCCTAGAGAAGCCTTCTCCTCGAAGGATGGTGAGGATCGTCAGCAGGTGATGAGCGGGGCCGAAAGCTCATGGGGGAGATGCTTTGGTTCAAGCCAAAGGTATCCATTCCAGGAGATTATTAACTTAATTAATGTCTGTGGTGATGATTTCTGGAGAATTTGTGGTTTAGCTCTTGGACCTGTTAAGATGCAGTTGTCCCAGAGTTTAAAATGAACCTGATGGAGCGGGTTGGACGGAGAGAGTTGAGAGAGTTGGACGGAGTCCTTTGAGAGAGTTTAGTAAATCAGGTTGGAAGGGCTCTAAACTACTAATTAACCACTAATTATTTAAACTTCTAGGTTGGAAATGCAGTTTGTGGTGTGGTGATGATGGGTAACTCCTTTCCTAGTTCCTTGTGACTCGGGGCAGAGCCAAGTGATGATGGGTAACTCCTTTCCTAGTTCCTAGTTCCAACAGCTTCTTCCCTGGAGACGGGGAAGGTGCTTTAGACACGCTTTTCAGCAGTCAACTTGAGACAAGCTTATGTGTAATTGATGATAACTAATGTCTAATTACCATAATTAGACAAGTGACATAAAATTAAGCTGCAGCTGGGAGCTTGACTTCAACACGAGGTTCTCTGATGTGCATCATAATGTGCACAAAAAAGATGTTTGGCAGCAGCACATTCAAATGAGGTGCCACCAAAATGTCTGTTTAGTCCAATTTAGGTTTTCCAGCCCAAACAGTTTGGTGGGATTTTTACCCAAAAAGCCTGAGGAGCAAAAGGTCAACTCGCTGCTGGAAGAACTGGGGATTTTTATAACCAAAAAAACACCAACAAATAAAAACCCCACCCTTATTTCTGTTTCATTTCTTGTAATGTCCACTCGGTAATGGGTGACTGCAGTAGATGGTCTGCTGTTTTTTTTAAAAAAAATACATTAATTTTAATTCCTCAATGAGTTTAAAAAGCCACAAACTTTTAAAATAGTCAACAGTTCCCTCATTGCTGTCTTCTTCAACAGTTTCCCATTTCTAGTTATTTTTACCTTACCTTTTTCCTCTTGTAAAAAAACCCCCTTGGGGGATGTTCTGGAGATGACCTGGATCACGGTGAGAGAGCGAAGGGCTGTGGCCACTCCTTTTCTTCAGAATTATGGAATAATTTCTTTCTAATCTGCAAAATATTAAGTTCAGCAACATTATTATAAGCACGGGCTGCTCTTGTGGTCAGAATTATTGGGGTTTGGTTTAAATTGAGCTATTCTTTTGCCTACAAAATGCTGGAAATGGTTATAAATGCCTATTTTTAACGTCTCTGTTCATCCTTCTCCTGCCCTCCCACCAGAATCTTGGCACAAAAAGAGGTCTTTTGTGTTTCTCTTCGGGCTCGTTAACCTGCCAATTACAATTTGGGAAAAGGTCGTTAGAATTCGGTAGCTTCACAAGGTAAAGAGCAACTGTTCATCAAACTCCAATCGTCTAGCAATTAAAATCAAATTAAAAGCCAAAAAGCCCTCGGCGTTTCGTTGCGTTGACTCAACACATTGTGTTTTCTTAGGCCTTTTTTTAAAAAAAAAAAATCAAAAAATTTAGGAAATTAAGGTTTTTAAGCCCAATTTGCTTGGAATCAAGTGAATAATCCAAGTGCTTCCTAAATGTGGTATAAACAACCATGAGCCTGAGTTCTATGTCCAGTTCTGGGCTTCCCATTTCCAGAAGGACTGGGAGCTGCTGGGGAAGAGTCCAGCGGAGGCTGCGAGGATGATGAGGGACTGGAGCATCTCTCTGATGAAGAAGGGCTGAGAGGCTTTTTAGCCTGGAGAGAGAGAAGAAGAGAAGGCTGAGAGGGGACCTCATCAAGGCTTATCAATATCTAAAGGGTGGGTGGCAAGAAGATGGGGCCAGACTCTTTCCAGTGGTGCCCGGTGATGGGACAGGGAGCAATGGGCACAAACTGGGATATGAGAAATAAGGAAAATGTCACTTTGAGGATTCCAAAGCCCTGGAAGACGCGGCCCAGAGAGGGTGTGGAGGTCTCCTTCTCTAGAGATACTCCAAATATCCATGAAAATGATCCTGTCCAACCTGTTCCCAGTGACCTGCTGGGGCAGGGGGTTGGATGAGATGATCTCAGAAGGTCCCTTCCAACCCCAACCAGGCTGTGATTCCGCGATTCCATGATTTGTCTTATTATCTACTTGCATTTCAAAACCTGTTTTGGTGTTTCCTGGTCCTGCTGCTTGTGATGAGTTGCCTCGTGGCTTCGTTAAACACTTTGGTTGGTTGATTGGTTGTTTTTTTTTTCCCCTTGAGCTCAAGACCTAAAACCTCTCGAGAACATTTAAATGCTTTGCCAGAATTGAAGCGGATGCTCTTTCCTGTTTCGGAACTAACCTTTTGCTTCCCTCTTTATATTTATCTAGTGTTAAGTATTCGTGGTATTCAGGAAGAAGATCCCCCAGATGCCCAACTAATGAGACTAGATAACATGTTGCTGGCGGAGGGTGTCTCCGGGCCCGAGAAAAGAGGAAGAGGAGGACCGATGGCTGTAGCAGCAACATCAGGTGGCTGTCCAAATGACAATAGCATTGAACACTCTGACTACAGGGCCAAGCTGTCACAGATCCGACAGATATACCACTCTGAGCTAGAGAAATATGAACAGGTGATCTTTCTGCATGGAAGAGTTTTTATCATCTCAATTAAAAAAAAAAAAAATTTAAAAAAAAAAAAAAATTAAAAAATAACCCTTTTTTCCTTTGGTGTCGGTTGTGAGCGCAGAGCAGGGAGCGGAATGAATTCAGGTGGAAAAAAAAAAAAAACTCAGTTGAAAAAGTTATCTCAGTGTTACAGGAGTGGAGCTGGAGGGACTGGACATCAGACTAGAGATAATGAATGTCTCATTTATCTTTGTTGCCGTTTTTTAAGGGTAAACAGGCTAAAGCTGCAACATGGAAACGCCTCGAAAGTGTTGTTTTTGTGGGTTGTGCTTCCTCGATGCAAGGTATGAAAAAACAACCTTCTCAGCCATGACTGACATTTAAAACCCAATTTAAAACACTATTTTTTTGTTGCCCGATGCCAGTTGTTGTCCAAGAAATCCCAAGTCTCTCATTGCGGGTGTCAATCTGCTTTAAATATTAAGAATTTCCCCCCTTTTGCTACCAACATCTATCTAATTCCTCAGTTACAACTTGATTCTTACATTCTCCTTCAAACAAAATGTATTTTAAAGCAAAAAAAATCAAAAAAGCCATCATGATCCTGCGCTCGCGCTTCCTCGACACAAGGTACGAGAAAACAACCTTCTCAGCCATGACTGACATTTAAAACCCAATTTAAAACACTATTTTTTTGTTGCTGGATGCCAGTTGTTGCCCAAGAAATCTCAAGTCTCTCATCCCCGGTGTCAATCTACTTTAAATATTAAGAATTTCCCCCCTTTGCCACCAATATCTATTTAATTCCTCGGTTACAACTCGATTCCTAAATTCTCCTTCAAACCAAATGTATTTTAAAGCAAAAAACACCCAAAAAAGCCATCATGATCCTGTGCTCGCGCTTCCTCGACGTAGAAAACACCTTCTCAGCCACGACTGACATTTAAAACCCAATTTAAAACACTATTTTTTTGTTGCTGGATGCCAGTTGTTGCCCAAGAAATCCCAAGTCTCTCATCCTTGGTGTCAGTCTACTTTAAATACTTTAAATATTAAGAATTTCCCCCCTTTGCCACCACCATCTATTTAATTCCTCGGTTACAAATCGATTCTTACATTCTCCTTCAACCAAAATGTGTTTTAAAGCAAAAAACAACCAAAAAAGCCATCATGATCCTGCGCTCGCGCTTCCTCGACACAATGTACAAGAAAACACCTTCTCAGCCACAACTGACATTTAAAACCCAATTTAAAACAAAATTCTTTTGTTGCTCGATGCCAGTTGTTGCCCAAGAAATCCCAAGTCTCTCATCTTCGGTGTCAATCTGCTTTAAATATTAAGAATTTCCCCCCTTTGCCACCACCATCTATTTAATTCCTCGGTTACAACTTGATTCCTAAATTCTCCTTCAAACAAAATGTGTTTTAAAGCAAAAAAACCCCAAAAAAGCCATCATGATCCTGCGCTCGCGCTTCCTCGACGTAGAAAACACCTTCTCAGCCACGACTGACATTTAAAACCCAATTTAAAACACTATTTTTTTGTTGCTGGATGCCAGTTGTCACCCAAGAAATCTCAGGTCTCTCATCCTTGGTGTCAGTCTACTTTAAATACTTTAAATATTAAGAATTTCCCCCCTTTGCCACCAACATCTATTTAATTCCTCGGTTACAACTTGATTCTTACATTCTCCTTCAAACCAAATGTAGCTTAAAGCAAAAAAAAAAAAGCCATCATGATCCTGCGCTTGTGCTTCCTCGATGCAAGGTATGAAAAAACAACCTTCTCAGCCACGACTGACATTTAAAACCCAATTTAAAACACTATTTTTTTGTTGCCCGATGCCAGTTGTTGCCCAAGAAATCCCAAGTCTCTCATTGCGGGTGTCAATCTCCTTTAAATATTAAGAATTTCCCCCCTTTTGCTACCAACATCTATTTAATTCCTTGGTTACAACTCGATTCCTAAATTCTCCTTCAAACCAAATGTATTTTAAAGCAAAAAACACCCAAAAAAGCCATCATGATCCTGTGCTCGCGCTTCCTCGACGTAGAAAACACCTTCTCAGCCACGACTGACATTTAAAACCCAATTTAAAACACTATTTTTTTGTTGCTGGATGCCAGTTGTCACCCAAGAAATCTCAGGTCTCTCATCCTTGGTGTCAGTCTACTTTAAATACTTTAAATATTAAGAATTTCCCCCCTTTGCCACCAACATCTATTTAATTCCTCGGTTACAACTTGATTCTTACATTCTCCTTCAAACCAAATGTAGCTTAAAGCAAAAAAAAAAAAGCCATCATGATCCTGCGCTTGTGCTTCCTCGATGCAAGGTATGAAAAAACAACCTTCTCAGCCACGACTGACATTTAAAACCCAATTTAAAACACTATTTTTTTGTTGCCCGATGCCAGTTGTTGCCCAAGAAATCCCAAGTCTCTCATTGCGGGTGTCAATCTCCTTTAAATATTAAGAATTTCCCCCCTTTTGCTACCAACATCTATTTAATTCCTCGGTTACATCTCAATTCCTAAATTCTCCTTCAAACCAAATGTGATTTAAAGCAAAAAACAACCAAAAAAGCCATTATGATCCCACGCTCGCGCTTCCTCGACGTAGAAAACACCTTCTCAGCCACAACTGACATTTAAAACCCAATTTAAAACAAAATTCTTGTTCGATGCCAGTTGTTGTCCAAGAAATCCCAAGTCTCTCATCCTTGGTGTCAATCTGCTTTAAATATTAAGAATTTCCCCACTTTGCCACCACCATCTATTTAATTCCTCAGTTACAACTCGATTCTTAAATTCTCCTTCAAACAAAATGTATTTTAAAGCAAAAAACAACCAAAAAAGCCATTATGATCCCACGCTCGCGCTTCCTCGACGTAGAAAACACCTTCTCAGCCACAACTGACATTTAAAACCCAATTTAAAACACTATTTTTTTGTTGCTTGATGCCAGTTGTTGCCCAAGAAATCTCAGGTCTGTCATCCCCGCTGTCAATCCTCTTTAAATATTAAGAATTTCCCCACTTTGCCACCACCATCTATTTAATTCCTCAGTTACAACTCGATTCTTAAATTCTCCTTCAAACAAAATGTATTCTTGCGCTTCCTCGACGCAAGGTATGAGAAAACAACCTTCTCAGCCACGACTGACATTTAAAACCCAATTTAAAACACTATTTTTTTGTTGCTGGATGCCAGTTGTTTCCCAAGAAATCCCAACTCTCTCATTCTTGGTGTCAATCTACCTCAAATATTAAGAATTTCCCCCCTTTGCCACCACCATCTATTTAATTCCTCGGTTACAACTCGATTCCTAAATTCTCCTTCAAACCAAATGTATTTTAAAGCAAAAAACCCCAAAAAAGCCATCATGATCCTGTGCTTGCGCTTCCTCGACGCAAGGTATGAGAAAACAACCTTCTCAGCCACGACTGACATTTAAAACCCAATTTAAAACACTATTTTTTTGTTGCTGGATGCCAGTTGTTTCCCAAGAAATCCCAACTCTCTCATTCTTGGTGTCAATCTACCTCAAATATTAAGAATTTCCCCCCTTTGCCACCACCATCTATTTAATTCCTCGGTTACAACTCGATTCCTAAATTCTCCTTCAAACCAAATGTATTTTAAAGCAAAAAAAACCAAAAAAGCCATCATGATCCTGCGCTCGCGCTTCCTCGACGCAAGGTATGAAAAAACAACCTTCTCAGCCACGACTGACATTTAAAACCCAATTTAAAACACTATTTTTTTGTTGCCCGATGCCAGTTGTTGCCCAAGAAATCCCAAGTCTCTCATCGCGGGTGTCAACCTGCTTTAAATATTAAGAATTTCCCCCCTTTGCCACCACCATCTATTTAATTCCTTGGTTACAACTCGATTCCTAAATTGTCCTTCAAACCAAATGTATTTTAAAGCAAAAAACAACCAAAAAAGCCATCATGATCCCGCGCTCGCGCTTCCTCGATGTAGAAAACACCTTCTCAGCCACAACTGACATTTAAAACCCAATTTAAGACAAAATTCTTTTGTCGCTCAATGCCAGTTGTTGCCCAAGAAATCTCAAGTCTCTCATCCTTGGTGTCAATCTGCTTTAAATATTAAGAATTTCCCCCCTTTGCCATCAACATCTATTTAATTCCTCGGTTACAACTCGATTCCTAAATTCTCCTTCAAACCAAATGTATTTCAAAGCAAAAAAAACCAAAAAAGCCATCATGATCCTGTGCTCGCGCTTCCTCGACGTAGAAAACACCTTCTCAGCCACGACTGACATTTAAAACCCAATTTAAAACAAAATTCTTTTGTTGCCCGATGCCAGTTGTTGCCCAAGAAATCTCAAGTCTCTCATCATTGGTGTCTATCTGCTTTAAATATTAAGAATTTCCCCCCTTTGCCACCAACATCTATTTAATTCCTCGGTTACAACTCGATTCCTAAATTCTCCTTCAAACCAAATGTATTTCAAAGCAAAAAAAACCAAAAAAGCCATCATGATCCTGTGCTCGCGCTTCCTCGACGTAGAAAACACCTTCTCAGCCACAACTGACATTTAAAACCCAATTTAAAACAAAATTCTTTTGTTGCTCGATGCCAGTTGTTGCCCAAGAAATC